AAATGGTATAGGGTTTCCTGCCTGAGCAGGGGGTTGGACTAGATGACCTCCAAGGTCCCTTCCAACTTTATTATTATTATTATTATTATTATTATTATTATTATTATTATTATTATTATTATTATTATTATTATTATTATTATTATTATTATTATTATTATTATGGATCATCGCACAGTCAGCCAGATGTTCAGACTGGCATTTTGTCTACCTATTGAGTCCTTACCAAGGACCTGGGATAGGCAGATGTGGATGTTTGATGGTATTACAGATATCATTGCAGGATGGAGGCGGTTCCTAGTAAGGCCGCCTTTTGCAATTGACTAATGGCGAATTTGTCAATGCCGATGATGGTGTTCAAGAGGTGCTCCAGTTGTTTTGGGATTGCACCCAAGGCGCCTCTTGCTATTGGTACTACCCTTGCTTGCCTTTGCCACAGTCTTTCTATTTCTATTTGTAAGTCTCTGTATTTTGTTATCTTCTCCAGTTCTTTCTCTGTCTCCAGGCACTGCCACGTCCACGATCCAGACTTTTTTGTCTTTCTTATCGACAATTGTTAAGTCTGGGGTGTTATGTTGCAGGTGCTTGTCTGTTTGAATTCTGAAGTCCCAGAGCAGTTTAACTTTATCATTTTCTATGACTTTCTCTATTTTATGATCCCACCAGTTCTTGCTTACAGGTAAATGATATTTCTTATTATTATTATTATTATTATTATTATTATTATTATTATTATTATTATTATTATTATTATTATTATTATTATTACTACTACTACTACTACTACTACTACTACTATTATTACTACTACTACTACTACTATTATTATTATTATTATTATTATTATTATTATTATTATTATTATTATTATTATTATTATTATTATTACCATGGATCTCAGTCTAATCAAAGAATGAACAATATTTTGGATTTGTACCTTTCTGGCCTCTTTCCCCTGGAAATCCTTGGTCTCCTCGGGTTCCTTCAGGGCCAGGAAGTCCTCGTTCACAAATCAGACCAGCTAAAAGAAAGAAAAACAAATGAGAGTCAGGACACGAGTCACGAAATGAATGCTGGAAAAGTTCAGAGAAACTTCTCACTCTTCAGAAGAGCTTCAAAACCTGCATCCTTGGTCTCCATTCTGAATACCAGGACAAAAAAAATGGACTTTATTTGTTGAGTTATTTCTTAAATTTGCAGGCCACTCAACTCCAGGCAACTCCCAAGTTAAAAAAAAACATTTTAAAAATACAGTAAAAATCAAAAGAATAAAAAGAGAGGGGAAATTAAGGGGGAATTAAGCTTAAATAAGAACTTTGAAAATAAGATATATAGCATTCTCACGGCTGCTCGATTGGCGTATGCACAAAACTGGAGGAATAAAGAAATTCCAACAGAAGGAGAGATTTTATATAAAATCCTATCGTGTGCTGATATGGATAGGCTCACAATGGAAATGAAGGACAAGACAGAGTCAGATTACTTTGAAATCTGGGACAAATTCTACTGGTGTGAATCAAGGAGAACTGTTCAGGTTTTACATTAGTGTTAAGATAGAGATATATAAAACTGTATGATAGTATATAGAGAAACAAATTAGNTATTATATCTAGATATTTATTCATTTACAATGCTTTTGTAAATAGTGGTGTACAGCAGAAGCAGAGTCGACTGATATGACCTCAAGAAATGCTTGTTTTGTTTTTGTCAGGCAACAGAACACACCCTCCCCAATTTTGTGGCACACCACCACTGAAATCATAAGGAGTTTCAAAAGCAAGCTTGTGAATGTTACAGGTGCTTCAACACTAGCAGCAATGACAAAATACAAATTCCAAACCAATACCAGATGTTGAGACTCTAGAAGAGTGCAGAGAAGAGCAACAAAGATGATTAGGGGACTGGAGCCTAAAACATAAGAGGAACGGTTGCTGGAAATGGGTATGTCTAGTTTAATGAAGAGAAGGACGAGGGGTGACATGATAGCAGTGTTCTAATATCTCAGGGGCTGCCACAAAGAACAGGGAGTCAAGCTATTTTCCAAAGCGCTTGAAGGCAGGACAGGAAGCAACGGATGGAAACTAACCAAGGAGAGAAGCAACCTAGAACTAAGGAGAAACTTCCTGACAGTTAGAACAATTAACCAGTGGAACAACCTGCCTCCAGAAGCAGTCAATGCTCCAACACTGTAAGCTTTTAAGAAGAGACTGGACAGCCATTTGTCTGAAATGGTATAGGGTTTCCTGCCTGAGCAGGGGGTTGGACTAGATGACCTCCAAGGTCCCTTCCAACTTTATTATTATTACTACTACTATTATTATTATTATTATTATTATTATTATTATTATTATTATTATTATTATTATGGATCATCGCACAGTCAGCCAGATGTTCAGACTGGCATTTTGTCTACCTATTGAGTCCTTACCAAGGACCTGGGATAGGCAGATGTGGATGTTTGATGGTATTACAGATATCGTTGCAGGATGGAGGCGGTTCCTAGTAAGGCCGCCTTTTGCAATTGACTAATGGCGAATTTGTCAATGCCGATGATGGTGTTCAAGAGGTGCTCCAGTTGTTTTGGGATTGCACCCAAGGCGCCTCTTGCTATTGGTACTACCCTTGCTTGCCTTTGCCACAGTCTTTCTATTTCTATTTGTAAGTCTCTGTATTTTGTTATCTTCTCCAGTTCTTTCTCTGTCTCCAGGCACTGCCACGTCCACGATCCAGACTTTTTTGTCTTTCTTATTGACAATTGTTAAGTCTGGGGTGTTATGTTGCAGGTGCTTGTCTGTTTGAATTCTGAAGTCCCAGAGCAGTTTAACTTTATCATTTTCTATGACTTTCTCTATTTTATGATCCCACCAGTTCTTGCTTACAGGTAAATGATATTTCTTCTTATTATTATTATTACTATTATTATTATTATTACTACTATTATTATTATTATTATTACCATGGATCTCAGTCTAATCAAAGAATGAACAATATTTTGGATTTGTACCTTTCTGGCCTCTTTCCCCTGGAAATCCTTGGTCTCCTCGGGTTCCTTCAGGGCCAGGAAGTCCTCGTTCACAAATCAGACCAGCTAAAAGAAAGAAAAACAAATGAGAGTCAGGACACGAGTCACGAAATGAATGCTGGAAAAGTTCAGAGAAACTTCTCACTCTTCAGAAGAGCTTCAAAACTTGCATCCTTGGTCTCCATTCTGAATACCAGGACAAAAAAAATGGACTTTATTTGTTGAGTTATTTCTTAAATTTGCAGGCCACTCAACTCCAGGCAACTCCCAAGTTAAAAAAAAACATTTTAAAAATACAGTAAAAATCAAAAGAATAAAAAGAGAGGGGAAATTAAGGGGGAATTAAGCTTAAATAAGAACTTTGAAAATAAGATATATAGCATTCTCACGGCTGCTAGATTGGCGTATGCACAAAACTGGAGGAATAAAGAAATTCCAACAGAAGAAGAGATTTTATATAAAATCCTATCGTGTGCTGATATGGATAGGCTCACAATGGAAATGAAGGACAAGACAGAGTCAGATTACTTTGAAATCTGGGACAAATTCTACTGGTGTGAATCAAGGAGAACTGTTCAGGTTTTACATTAGTGTTAAGATAGAGATATATAAAACTGTATGATAGTATATAGAGAAACAAATTAGAGACTGTATTGTATAGAAAAATATGTATATATAGAGATTAAGAATTATATGTATGATGAGGAACAAATTATTAGGAATACATACACTGGAATGTTACGTTATGTCCATCTTTGTTTTAACTGTTTTATAAATAAAAAACTTTTTTTAAAAAAAGAAAATAAGATATATAGCGATTTAACAAATTAACTTTTGCAAATATAAGTGAAATATAAACTGATCAGAGAAGATGTTGTAGGTAGAGGTCATAAGATAGATAAGCAGTATAGTATTTTTTATAACACATGAAATATAAAAACATTGGGATGGGGAATCTAAATGCAAAATCTGAATATTTAGATGATTAATATTGAGCAAATTATGACTGATAAGAATTGTCTGAATATTAAGGGGAAATTAAGCTTAAATAAGAACTATGAGAATAGGATATATGGTGAACTAATAAGATGATTTTTTAGAAAAATAACACGTTGATAAGAAAAAATGTCATACGTGAACATTATTATTATTTGTACAAACATGAAAAAAATGTTTATATTTAACCATTTATGCATTGAAAATATTAAGAATGATATTTTTTTAAGGTTGAAGAAGGAGAATATTATTGGGAGAAGGAAAGATCAAAGTAATACACTATTAATTAATATATTAAGCATGGAATTACAAAAAATAATTATTATTGACTGTTAATTAACTACTATTGATTGTTGCTGTTTTTAAATATATGAACCAAGACAACACGCTGTACACCAGGCACTAATGATTGTTACTGTAAAAAATTTAAAAAAAAACATTTCTTAAAAAAAAGAATAAAAAGAGTGTTTGGGCGCTTTCCTGGTGAGTTTGGACTACAACTCTTAGAATAGAGTCTTAATGGACAATCACTTAAATATGAGCCAGCAGTGTGCTGCAGCTGCCAAAAAAGCCAACACAGTGCTAGGCTGCATTAACAGAGGGATAGAATCAAGATCACGTGAAGTATTAATACCACTTTACAAGGCCTTGGTAAGGCCACACTTGGAATACTGCATCCAGTTTTGGTCACCATGATGTAAAAAAGATGTTGAGACTCTAGAAAGAGTACAGAGAAGAGCAACAAAGATGATTAGGGGATTGGAGGCTAAAACATATAAGGAACGGTTGCTGGAATGGGGTATGTCTAGTTTAACGAAGAGAAGGAAGAGGGGGGACATAATAGCAGTCTTCCAATATCTCAGGGGCTGCCCCAAAGAAGAGGGAGTCAAGCTATTTTCCAAAGCGCCTGAAGGCAGGACAAGAAGCAACGGATGGAAACTAGTCAAGGAGAGAAGCAACCTAGAACTAAGGAGAAACTTCCTGACAGTTAGAACAATTAACCAGTGGAACAACCTGCCTCCAGAAGCGGTAAATGCGCCAACACTGGAAGTTTTTAAGAAGAGATTGGACAAGCATTGAACTGAAATGGTATAGAGTCTCCTGCCTGAGCAGGGGGTTGGACTAGATGACCTCCAAGGTCCCTTCCAACTTTATTACTATTATTATTATTATTATTATTATTAATTCTTGGAGGCACAGTCAACATGGTGGAATATCAGGATCCTGGATTGAACCAATCAATAATATTTATTTGGTCAGTGACCAGCAAAAAAGTAAAAGAATAAAAACAGAGTGAAGCAAATCAACACAATAATATACTAGCAAAATGGATCAGATCTTAATGTTAATACAGTTGTTACCCAGATGAACAATCTAAAATATTAATAAGTATGAAATAAAAACTATATATCCCCTAACAATTTATTAGTTAAGAGGTCATCATAACCCTGTCCCTGACGTTCAGCTAATACGGACTGAAATCAATTGTTGGATTTTTTTAACAGATACCAATAATTATCATTTTCCTCATGTGCACAGCTGGACCTTTAGTAAGGGAGACGCTGGATGGCACTTGGACCCAGATTAGATTGTGAGTCCATGAATCTCAGCTAATATGGACCAGATATAAATACCTCACTGAGCATTTTCAATAGATACTGGTAGTTACGAGTAGTCCTCCGTTTTCAACTATTTAGTTAGTGACCACAGTTATAACGGGCACGGGAAAAAGTGACTTATGACCGGTTTTCATACTTATGACCATTGCAGTATCCCCAGTCACGTGATCCAAAATTGATTGTTGGCAACTGGCGTGTACTTATGACGGTTGCACTGTACCGGGGTTGTTGTTATTGTTGTTGTTATTATTATTATTATTATTATTGATCACCGCATAGTCAGCCAGATGTTCAGACTGGATTTGGGATTTTTGTCTACCTATTGAGTCCTTATTATTACTATTATTACTATTATTACTATTATTACTATTATTACTATTATTATTGTTGTTATTATTATTATTATTATTATTATTATTATCTGCTATCTTTCAAATGCACACATATTCACACATATTGGTCAACACAGTCCTAACGCCTGATGGACAGTAGGTTGTGGAAACTGACCGAGATGGGTGATCAGCAATTGATGAGTGATGATCAGAAATATTACTTACCAGGTGGAATGGTTGACCCTGGTGGTCCCCGGGGCCCTGGTGGTCCTGGGCGCCCTGGTTGACCATCAATTCCTGGCTGTCCTGGTATAGCGATCCCAGGAAGGCCCTGATCCCCTTTCTGTCCCCTTTCACCAGATAATCCAGGTGGACCAGGAGGACCTACCCTTGCAACTCCTACAGTGAGAAAAATGATTATAAAGGGGAGATTAGACTGGAACAGAAAGATATATCAGATGTGCAACTGTCTTTTTTTTTTTTATAAAGGTTTTTATTGAGTTTTATAAGGTTGGGGAAGGGGTAGGACCAGGATAGGGATTAAGGTTCGGGGTGGGGTTAGGATCAGGATTGGGGTTGGGAAAGGATTGGGAACAACATTGGGGTTGCCCCCCAGTAACATTTTCAAGCTTTAGCAAACAGACTATTGTCCGGGTACATATGCTCAGTTAACACTAATTAATACAACAGTAAATAGCTGTAGTGAATATGATAAACAATAATCATATACCATTTCAGTTGGTCAATACATATCATTCTTCTTACTAATATATATTCAAAATAACATATCACATTCATTTCTCACTAGTTCGTTTTCCTAACCATTGGTAAAAATTTATCCCATGTTTTAAAATAAACTGAATCTTCTTTCTCTTTAATCTCTAAGGTTAGTCTATCCATTTCGGCACACTCTAAAATTTTCTTTATTAAGATCTCTTCAGTTGGTAAGTTTTCATTTTTCCAGTATTGGGCAAATATTATTCTCGCTGCTGTCAATACATGCAATATTAAATACTCATTCTCCTTCTCGTACTTAGCTCCTCAATATTCCTAACAAAAACAGTCCTGGTTTAAATTCTATCTGTATTTTAGTCATCTTTTCCAGCCATGTATGTACCTTAAGCCAAAACCTTTTTCGCTTTAGGGCAGTGGTGGCGAACCTATGGCACGGGTGCCAGAGGCGGCACTCAGAGCCCTCTCTGTGGGCACGTGCGCCGTCGCCCCAGTCCTAGGCCTTCAGCTGGGTTTTATAAAACCTTTTCGCTTTAGGCCTCTGCCGCCGTGTGCAAAAAAAAAAAAGGGTTCAATCAATCAGTCAATTTCAACTTCTCGAGGAAAAAAAAAAGATCTCGCAAAGTTGGAATTGATTGATTGAACTTTTTAGTCCCACCCAGTCTGCCATTACCACTGCAGCCACGCCCAGCCAATGGGCCACACCCAGCCAATGGGCCACACCCACCCGACACCCGACGATGCATAAGTGGGTTTTGCGTTGCGGTTTGGGCACCCGGACTCTAAAAGGTTCGCCATCACTGCTTTAGGGCATACCCACCAGATATGGTAGTAAGTACCTGGCCTTTGTTTACATTTCCAGCAATTATTCGAAGTATTTTTAAACATTTTGGCTAATCTTACTGGTGTCATATGCCATCTATAAAACATTTGATACACATTTTCTTTATATGAAACTGCTTTAGTCAATTTAATATTTCTATCCCATATTTTTTTTGCCAATCTGATGTGCTACTGTCTTGAAGCTCAACTTTAGGGAAAGATGCACTCTCTTACCTGGGGTGCCTGGTAAACCAGGAGGGCCCGGGGAGCCAGGATAACCACGATCTCCTTTGCTTCCAGGATAGCCCGCAAAACCTTTGCTACCTTTTGGTCCCACTGTTGTACCAGTATCCGGCCTTGGAATCACCTGACGATGTAGCCCAAGGAGCAAGGAAGAATGTTATATAAATGTAGGGCATGAAAGAAACAAACTACATTGGAATCTTTCCCCCGAGAGTTTCAAATAATTCCATAATTCCCACTCCAAAAACGTAACTATGGCTGAACCATTCCTGGAACCCAGGTGATTTATCTTCAGCACTTCAGCCAGAATATGGGAAACAGTAATCAATACTTGTGGATATTTTTCTTAATCTTCTATCAACGCTAGCAGGCAGGGAATTTATTGGCCTGTCTTTATTGGCCCCAAACAGTGTTTCTCCAGTTGGCCAGCTCCCAGATTTGATACATTAAAAGCAAAAGTCTGAAAAGGTTTTCAAAGCTCGAATACAAGCAGGAGATTAATCTCCCTGTTGTCAGGTTCTGAAATCAAAATCCTCTCAGAATTTTCTTTAACAAGATTTATTAAAAGCAAAGCAAATAAATTTACAAGGATCATAACAACGGGTTTGCTTGCTCATCAGAACCCATTTGACCTCTCTCTGCCTCTTAAGGCAGAGACTTAGTGAAGCTATTATTATTATTATTATTATTATTATTATTATTATTATTATTATTATTATTATTATTATTATTAATAATAATAATAATAATAATAATAATAATAATAATATTCTAACAACTAGCAGAATAAATTGCAGAATGTAATATTCATTCTTCTATTACTTTTTAATACAATTGTGATAAATCTAAAACAGTGGGGTCCTTGGTGCTCTCTGAGTTTGGTGACTTTCTTGCAGACATTTCATTACCAAACTAGATAATGTCATCAACACTAGAAGGGGTAGGGATTGCTCTCCATTTAGACCAGTGTTTCTCAACCTTGGCAACTTTACGATGTGTGGACTTCAACTCCCAAAATTCTCCAGCTAGCTAGCTGGAGAATTCTGGGAGTTGAAGTCCACACATCGTAAAGTTGCCAAGGTTGAGAAATACTGATTTAGACTCTAATGGCTTGCCCTGTCAAATCTAAACATTAACTGGTATAAAATAAATAATAAAATTATATATCCCCTGTATTACAGTTTGTAAACATGGGGGGAAAGAACCACCGAGGCTCTTTTGTTGGTGTGTGTGTGTGTGTGTGTGTGTGTGTGTGTGTGTGTGAAAAATCTACATTCGCTTTAATGTATTACAGGTAGTTCTCAACTTACAACCACAACTGAGCTCAAATTTTCTCTTGTTGAGTTTTGCCCAATTTTATGAGCTTTTTTTTTTGCCGCAATTGTTAACTGAATCACTGCAGTTGTTAAGTTAGTAACACACTTCTTAAGTGACTCTGGGTTCCTCATTGACTTTGCTTGTTAAAAGGTGACCACATGATCCTGGGATACTGCAACAGTGATAAATGCATGCCAGTTGCCAAGGATCTGAATTTTGATCCCGTGACCATAGGAACGCTACTTTTTTCAGTGCTGATATAACTTTGGTCACTAAACGAATGGCTGTAAGTTGAGAACGACCTGCAAAAGAAACATTTTAAGCTGGTCGTTCTTCTGAATATTGCAATAGCTTTAAAGTGTGAGGAAGCAAGCCAATGCGATACCCTTCCCAATTAGGACAAAAGCAAGAACAAACTTTGCATTGCAAGGTTGCATTGCCATGTTTTAAATTACAGGATGGCAAAAGAAAAAGTTCCAAAAGATGTTAAGTGAAGAAATACCCTCGAAATGGGAAAAATCTGCCTGAAGTGCAAGTTAAAGGAGGAGGCAGAAGAGACAGGATAAGGACTTACCTGTCCAGGTGGGCCAGTTAAACCAGTTTCTCCTTTTTGACCCTGCCAACAAAATAAATATCTCAAAATCTTGTTTCCTGAGAAAGCAGATCCGGGGGGGGGGGCTCCCACCTATTCCTAGGAAGATTCTGAACTGCACAACTTACTTTCTCTCCATCTCTTCCCGGGATGCCATGCATGCCAGGATCACCGGGAGAACCCTGGGCAAGAGCGATTGAAAAACAAAAACAAAAACCTCTCAATCCCAGAAATATTTCATATCTGCACATTTCCAAATGAAGGAAAGATAGAAAAAACTTACAGGCAAACCTGTCAATCCGGGGTCCCCGTCTTTTCCTGGCTTCCCCTTTGAAAGAAAACACAGAGAAAAGCGTTAAACAATGACGAAGCTGGAAGACGGGCCTGGCACTGGAGCTGGCAGTCGAAGCCTGAAAAATGGAGGTTTAGGTAAATACCACAAATCCACATTAGTTAGCAGGAACCCTTAAAGTAAGTGTCAAGCTGAAAACAGGACGAGGAGTGCCAGCCTGAAGCTATTCTCTCCCATGGCATGAATGGATTTCATTTCCCCAGAAAAGATAGCATAGATAACTGTTTCCACCCCCACACACTAATTTCTACTCTGCAGCTGGACAACAAATCAGAGCCCTCCAATGTCAGAGCATTCCAGCCCCTTCTTTTTATTCTCAGAGTTTTATTTTTATGACCCTGTAATCCTTTTATTTGTGGTAGAGTGAGGGCGACTGAATGGAGCTGAACGTTTACTCGCCGGATGCCCTTCCTGACACCTACGCGGAGTTTGCAACAGATATTTTCTCTTTGCCCCCCTGATAGTGAAACATCTGGTCCTGTTTAGGATTGAACTCTCAAGCTTCTGAGTGGGAGGTGAGTGTCTTCACCACTAGGCCTCCACTCCACTCACTTCTTCTTCCCAGATAAGTTCTGTTAAATTTAAAAATCATTTTGGAATGGTGACAAAATCCACCAGCACTGGATTTCCTTCTTCTAAATAATAATAATAATAATAATAACTTTATCATGGTCATAGACCAGCAATAGACATCACTTTTTACAATATGTTAAGAAAAAATAATAAAAAATAAAAACAGTACTGACATTAATAGTAAATAATAACATCCCTGTTAAGAAAATACATGTTCTCAAAATGTGAGGGTCACTCCCTAGTTTACGTGAGTGGAAAGCCGATAAGCGTGTGAGTAAATATAATGTTCCAAACATTATTAGAGATATCTCCAAAAAATTGGCACAAGTTGACGGCTATAGATCTGTAACCAATTTTTTTTCTTGTGGACATTGCCACAACACAGTATTTTGCCACTGCCTGCGTGATAGAAGGGTTTGAGTCCTGGAGGAGAAAGCCTACATAAAAATTGTCTGTCCTCCCTGGCAATCTCTCTAATAAGGGGAGAATATATGCTGACCTACAAACTCGGTATAACTCACAGTACAGTAAAACATGTGAGATGTCTTCGACTTCTCCTTTACCACATATACATAGCCGTTCTGCCATTGGTGTTCTCTTATACCTGCCCTGGAGGAGTGCTGAGGGAAGAATGTTAAATCTGGCTCTGAAGAAAGCTATTCTTTGTTTTGGGAAGGTCAGATCATTCAGATATCTTGCCGATTCCCACATACCCTGTTTGATTCTATCCCTACTGTGGCAAGGCAACCTATTTAGTTCTTCTTGGAACTCCATGTCCTTTATTCTATTGGATACTACTTGCTTTGCTTGGTCAAAGCCTAGGGACATTAAGAATACCGAAGAGAGCCCATAAGAGCCCAGTATATGGTCTATCCTTCTTCTAAATCTCTAAAAACATGCATCTGATAGGAAAATGGAGGTTTACTGGTATCACGGTCACCACAATTCAAATAAAATGGAGAGAGAAATTCACTGGTCGGAAAGCACAAATGACATCTTTATTTTTTGCACGTTGTTTCCAGTTTCTGTTCCAAAGACCACATCAGGGAGAAAGAAATCCTTTGGATTCATTAATCCAGATTAGAAGTTAAACGTTGAGGTCTCTTTGTGAACCTGCATTGACTGTGGTTGTGTTCGTGCACTTTTTCAATGGCCTCTTTCTCATTCAGGGACAACGGTTAACTGATCCAGGAAGGTTCCACCCATACCAACTCTTAAACAGATCATAGGAGAAAGGAAAAATGTCTTACCCCACATTTGGTGGCCCAACCTGAACTCCCAAAACTATACATGGTTTGGAAAGGTAAATATCAGGTTCCAAGAAGCTACTTACTCTTTTGCCTGGTTCTCCTTGCTCACCTTTTTCACCTTTTCCACCCCCAGAAGGGCCCTGGAAATCAGAAAAGCACCTCATTATCAATTAAGAGGGACCCAACCTTGGGAGAATCCCAATGCCCCTCCACAAACAAAGCCAAGGAAAGTACTCACAGGAAGCCCGGAGGGCCCCGGAGGCCCTGGGGGGCCTGGGTCACCTGCAACACCCTACCAAGAGCAAAGGGAAATGGTTACAAATCCGTCCTGAGGGTCTGATCAAGTTCTACCTTCAGATTTTGTGGGCAAATCGGCGCTCAATTTCCGTGGAAAGTATTGTCAATTATTATAGAGGAGGCAACCTTTGTTTTACTTATTTGTATCCTGCCTTCATTATTGTTACAAACAACTCAAGGCAGCAGACATATCCAACACACCTTCCCTTTTCTAGTTATCCCACAACCTTGTGAGATGAGTTGGGCTGAGACAGCTTTCATGCGTAAAGTAATACTAGAACTCACTGTCTCCTTGTGACTGGCTCATACCCAGATGCTTTCATGCCTAAGGCAGGACTAGAATTCCTGGGACCTGTTTTCTAGCCTACTGCCTTAACACTAGACCAATTTATCTACCGTAAATGCCATCTATGTCTCTCATGATGTTTTCCAAACACCATGATTTTTGATTTAGATTTACTGATGGTTAGGGAGTTGTCCTGGCAATAGGAGTTAAACCTTCTTAATAGCCTAAGCCAGTGATGGCGAACCTTTTAGAGACCGAGTGCCCAAACTGCAACCCCAAACCCACTTATGCTTCGTCGAGTGCCGGGTGGGTGTGGCCCATTGGCTGGGTGTGGCTGCGGTGGAAACGGCAGACTGGGTGGGACTAAAAGTTCAATCAATCGATTCCAACTTGCAAGATCTTTTTTTTTCCCATGAGAAGTTGAAATTGATTGATTGATTGAACCTTTTTTTTTTTTGCACACGGCGGTGGAGGCCTAAAGTGAAAAGGTTTTATAAAACCCAGCTGAAGGCCTAGGACTGGGGCGACGGCGCATGTGCCCACAGAGAGGGCTCTGAGTGCCGCCTCTGGCACCTGTGCCATAGGTTCGCCACCACTGGCCTACGCAATCCTACTTGTGATAATGCTGGTAAGAGCTGGAGGATGGTCCAGTGTGACCCATCAACTGGGTAATTGAGTGAGAAGGGTGGATGCTCAGATACTATAGGAGAAGAGCAGGCAGAGTTGGAGGGCGGAGTTAAACAAGTCATTAATCTAGAGTCCTTTTGTTGCCACAGACAGTCCAAGTCCAACCCTTTCTGAATCCTGTTGACCCTTATCTGATATCAGTTTAGTGTTGAACTTTAGTTAGACTCGAGTGTATAGGTTTGAGCAATAAATCTTCTGAACTGCAATTTAACATGTGGTCTTGATCTTTCGCGGCTGACAGATACCACCAGAACCATTGCCTTTCACTCACCTGATCTCCTTTTTGAAATACTATATCATTATTTCCCGTCTGTTCGCCGATCTGTCCTGGTGGCCCTGGGGGTCCTTGAAGTCCCTGTTCACCCTAACTCCCCCCAAAAGACAGCAAGGCAGATTAGTTGTGTTTGTCATTCCCACAGAAAGAGTCAGCAATCCTGGAAACCAGTTCAAAGGGCCGGTTCAGTATTCCACACTCACTTTTTCTCCTTTGTATCCTTGGAAATTCACGCCCATATTGCCCTGAAAAAGAATGGAAAATAAGGGATACCATGATGAAAAAAGAAATAAAATGAGAATGAGAACGGTGAACCTGGGTTAAATGTTCCTTATGGATCAATATTGATTTCTTTTATGTTTACAGATTTTTCATAGTGATTAGACAGCCTAAAACTCATTGGGTCAATATTTACTTACCTAAAGAGATAAACAGAATGATCACAGGTGGGCAAAACACAGTGGGATTTGATTTCTGACTTCCTACCGGTTTCCCCGTTGACTTTGCTTGTAGGAAGTTGGCAAGGAGTATGGGAAAGCACAACCATGTGGCCACAATTGACCACAGTAGTGCTGCAAGTGGCCACAAGAAGGTTATGGACAAACAGCTGAAGAAATACCTACTAATCACATACAAAAGACTATTATATACTATACCTTAGGACCTGGCAGTCCTGGGGGACCAGGAGGACCCTATTAAAATAAAGAAACTCATTAATTTCCAGGGTTGTTTCTGTACACATGAGAAATACATCTGTAGTTGATAGTACAACGAATGATGAGACACAAGTAAAAATTGTCTCCTGATCCAGTTCCTGTCATCCAGTTTGATTAGGAAAATGATATCAGTCTGATGCTCTAAACCAGGGGTGTCAAACTCGCAACGTCATGTGATGTGTCACGACGTATCGCGCCTTTTTTTCCATTGCCAGCAATGGGGTGAGCATGGTTTCGGCATGACGCACCCGGCCCACGGGCTGGCAGTTTGACACCCCTGCTCTAAACTGAACCCTCCCATCAACCTTCAAAGAGGCCATAGTCTTTGTTAAGGACTGTAGTCCACTAATGACTAGTAGATCACAGATTCCTCTTCTCAAATTGGCTCCCTCTAGATCAGAGGTCCCCAACCTTGGCAACTTTAAGGCTTGTGGACTTTAACTCCCAGAATTCCTCAGCCAGCCAAGCTGGCTGAGGAATTCTGGGAGTTGAAGTCCACAAGCCTTAAAGTTGCCAAGGTTGGAGACCCCTGCTCTAGATGCCAAGCACCCAAAGTATGGTCACATAACCAGGTTGAAGGATAATCTAAACCTTGAATCAGGGTTGTAAATAACACCACTAGTAGATACATCAGACTAAGCAACCGGTCATAAGTTAAGGACTACCTCTATAACTTTGGATAGCAAAAGGAAAAAAAAGAGGCATAGATCCTGCATGGCCATTTTCTCAATCCCTTTACCCCAATCTTCAGAAACGTCCCCTTTCCCCAAACCCCCTCTAACTCATTCACTTCTAGTCTCCTCTGCTCCCACTTATTCCTTCCACTAATTCAACAGAGATAATCAGGGGTCTGTACCGTCAAACCTCGGGGTCCGGGAGGACCAAATGGACCTTCTACACCAGGGGGACCGGCAGAGCCCTAGAAGAATAGGAAAAATTGTTGGATGACGTTTGCCCACAGGAGGCACGTGTTACTTCTGGTTTACGGCAAAAACCACACACTCATAGCAAACCGTTGGTACACTTAACCCTCAGCATTCATTTAAAGACTACGGTGGCCACTTTACAACGGCCATGTTTGCTTAACTGTTTGCTTTCTGCTAAATGTCCCAAAGATGCTTGTCAAAGGGCAACTAGACTTGTGTATGTGTGTGTGTGTGTGTGTGTGTTTTCCTTATAAATGTTTCACTTCTCATCCAAGGAGTTTCTTCAGTTCTTCTTCAGAATGAAGAAGCTTCTTGGATGATAAGTGAAATGTTTTCAAGGAAAAAGAATCAAGAAAGTTCAATTGCCTTTTGGAAACGTATCTTTGGGACAATCATGACTTGGATGACTGAGAATCTCCATAGACCTTCTGCTAATTGTGTTCATCTAGACTAGAGCAGGGGTAGGCAACCTCGGCTCTTTTATGACTTGTGGACTTCAACTCCCAGAATTCCTGAGCCAGCAGGAAACCTCTCCCTTTCTCCTCAGCATGGTTGGCTCAGGAATTCTGGGAGTTGAAGTCCATGAGTCATAAAAGAGACAAGGTTGCCTACCCCTGATCTAGAGAATTATCTGTGGAGGATGCTTTAATTTGATGCCTACATTGGGTAGAGGATTAGACTTGGGGACTGAAACAACTCCTTTCACATTATGGAATTTTATGATTCTGTGAAATAAATGGAAGAATAAAGGACACAGAGAAGAAGGGTTAAATACACTGAGAAACAACTTTCATACATATCCACATTTCTGAACTGAAGCCTTTAATTCAAAAGCCATAAATTAGGAGAATCTTCTGTTCTCTTCATCAGCTGATAGCATTTGCTACAGAACTTAAAAGTCAGGCCCAAAAATACCAAACTCAGCGTGCCCAAAATTAAGCTACCATTTATAGGTTTCTTCTTGAAAACAACTTGGTCTTTCTTCAATCCACAGCGGGAATCTCCTTGTAACTCCTTCAAACTATTTTATATCAGCAGCCATGACTGCATCAAAAAAGCTTTGTTCTGAGAATTTTTTAAAGTTCTGACTTCACATCCAAGCAGCACCTACCTGTTAATATTGCACTATCATTAAAATATTCTGCGTACCACCAAGTTTCTTTAAAAGAAAAAATCCCACTGAAGCACATCAGATGTTTTAGCCAACTTACTTGAATTCCAGGTGGACCGGGAAATCCTGGATCACCTTTCTGTCCAGGGAGGGGAGAGGTGATAATATCTCCTTTTTCACCCTAAAAAGTGAAGATGGGATATGGATTAAGATAGCTACACTCATGATGAAGTTCAAGAAGAAGACGTATCAAAGTGCCAACTGAAGCATTCAAAATAAATCGTCCACCAACTTCTTCGTGTAATCATTTTTCTGCAGGAATACGTTCGTAATATTCAGTGTTCTGACATTTGAGGGGCTGATACAAAGAAGAGGGGGTCAACCTATTTTCCAAAGCAGCAGAAGTCAAGACGAGAATCATGGATAGAAACTGAACAAAGAGAGAAGCAACCTAGAACTAAAGAGAAATCGCTTGACAGTAAGAACAATAACCAGCGGAACAACTTACCTTCAGAAGTTGTGGGTGCTCCATCACTGGAGGCTTTTAAGAAAGGACTGGACAACCATTTGTCTAAAATGGTATAGGGTCTTCTGCTTGACCAGGGGGTTGGACTAGAAGACCTCCCAGGTCCCTTCCAACTCCGTAATTCTGTTATTTATATTTGTTCTTGCAAACTAAACATCCCACAGACATTCTTTTGCTGCATAAAGTACCGATTTATGTTCATGTTAAATTTGTGGCACCAAGGAAAGGTAGAGAGATTGGGGAGAGAAAAGGAAATTAGGGACATTGTGCTTTTTCTTTGGAAAAAAAAAAACTTTATTCAGCTTGAAAATATTACCAGAATGCAATTATGGTTAAATGAAATTTACTTCCAGAAGCACTCAGAAAGGATTTTTTCCCCTAATCCAACCAACAGTCAGACAAACATTTAATTGACTGGGTTGGTCTTTTGTCTCCTGCTTAGGAAACCTCTGAGATTCAATGCAGATACTACATCAAAGCTAGATCAAAGTTTGACAGGATGCCTGAACTGAAGAACGGAGAAGAATAAAAAACAGCTTAAGAGTTGGGTTTGCAACCCATCACGTACATTAGCTAAGGTTCAACATAATGTCCTGAACACGCACACTAAGGCATTAAGCAATAATTTATACTACACTTTTAGACTGGGGCAAGTTGGAGTTCGAAAACCCAGCAGAAGAATAGAAAATGCATGACTATAAATGTTCAGAAAATTAGCGAGGCTGCTGCAAGATGCAAAGTTGCTACCGGTAGCTAAACCGCTTCATTAAATGATTGACCATTATCATCCACTCGGACTTAGAGAACTAGACTTGGTGTCCAGTGATGTTTGGTGAAAACCTTGTTAAATGGGATGTCAGTTTCTTGCATTTGGCTTAGCTGCAGGAGGGCCAAAGAGCCTGTGTGTCATTGAGCATATCGTTTTTTTCTTTAGCAATTTGTAGCTTCAGTGGCTTCTCATATTTTGGTGAAATCTCAGGAGGAGAGACTTTTGTTTTATTTTATTTAGAATATGGGCGCCAAGAAGTGTGAAAAGTGCTGGAAACATTTGCAACAGAAGGGGGGGAAATCCAAATTGCAAAATCCTTCGTCTCTCATAATAATAAAAAAAGCAGAAATACAAAATCTTACAAAGAAAAATAGGACGAGGATGGGAAATTCTAGAAAATCTTTGGTACAATATTGGGGAAAATCTATGAGGCCAATTGTTAGCTGCCACATCATGCTTGCTGTTATGCGACGACTGTCTGCCATGAACTATGGAGAAGGGGGATGAAGGGGAGGAATCCTTGGGAAATTGAAAGTAGATGTGCCTTCTCAAGAAGCTGCTTCAAGGTCACCCAGCTGGAAGGAGGAGGCAGTGACATACCTGAACTGACTGTTAGGAAAACAGCTCGCAAGACTTTAATTGGTGACATTGAGATGGGAAATGAAAGACAGTTAAGGAGGGGAAAGTATAACCAGTTCTGGCTATGCATTATTGCAACACACTTGACCTCTAATAAAAAATATCCCTTTCTCAGCAATTGGAACCAAGGATTGTTTTCTACTAAGAGGTTTAAGTTTGTGGCAGGTCTGACACCATAATGCATCAGTGCCAAAGCTGGCTTGTCAGATCTTTTATTTTAGAAATGTATTTACATCTGATAGCACCCAGATGTAAATCAATGAGAGCGAACCAGGTAATAACAATTAGAGGAAGCAACCTGCTCAAAAGGTTGCTTCTATACTCTAGAAACCAAACTTACCTTCATTCCTAGCAAACCGGCGGGCCCCTGTAGAAAAAGGAGAGAGAACGAATTAAAAATAAGTTGTGGATTCTGTAAACTGCTTTGGCAGGTCTGACTTTCAGTTTCCCTTCTCTTCCACTTTTGTGTAAGGATGGAAAATAATGCTGACTCAGACTGTCTTTTCTAAATCAGTGAAAAAGAGTGAAGTGATGAAAGAATGAACCCAAATACAGGCGATTAAAGCTTAGATAGCTATCTCTCAGCTTAAGCAGCTTTAAGATGTGCTTTTATTTTAAAGGCAACCAGACATTCTGATTTTTCTTTAACACGTTTGGTTTCTCATCCAAGAATCTTCTTCATTTCTAACTGACTAACTTAGAACTGAATAAGAAGCAAAATATCTTAAAGAAGAATCAGAAAATCCAGTTGCCTTCAAAACAGAAGCACATTTGGGACAACCATGACCTGCAGGAATGAGATCGTCCCACAGACACTTTCCTGACAGTGAGAACAATTAACCAATGGAACGACTTGCCTCTACATGTTGGTGCTCCATCACTGGAGGTTTTTAAGAAGAGACTGGACAGTCACTTGTCTGAAATGGGATAGGGTCTCCTGCTTGAGCAGGGGGTGGTACTAGAAGACCTCCAAGGTCCCTTCCAGCTCTCTTATGATTGATTGATTGAATGTTAGGTATCATATATTTTTCATTTTGTTTATTAAATTTATTTGCTGCCCATCTTGCCACAAGGTAACTATGTATGTAGGTCTTTGGTTATTCGGGTTTTCTCCCGCGTAAAATTAGAAGTGTCTTGGCGACGTTTCGACAAAGTCCCATTCATCATCTTCAGGCTGGTGTTTTCGGCTTCATGCTTCTAGGAGCAGCTGCGATCACACATTGCTCCTAGAAGCACGAAGCCGAAAACACCAGCCTGAAGATGACGAATGGGACTTCGTCGAAACGTCGCCAAGACACTTCTAATTTTACGCGGGAGAAAACCCGAATAACCAAAGACCTATCTATCTATCTATCTATCTATCTATCTATCTATCTATCTATCTATCTATCTATCTATCTATCTATCATCTATCTATCTATCGTCTGAACCACCCATCTCCCTTATAGAGCATATCATAGTTGTATAATTGCCCCAAATTAAGCAAGTTGGATTGTATATAAATTTAAATAAATAAAAATAAACAAATGGAAACTAATGGAAGCTCCATTAAAAAAGCAATGGAGATATCACTGATAGGTGAGTTCTACTGGCCCCCTAGCATAATCAAAACTGATATTCTACTGTTCTCCATCTGGCCCCTGAGCAGTCTACAAGTTTGAACTTGGGGAACCTAGCACAAAATACAGTATAAACAGTCAGGTTAAGGCTTCAAACACTATCCAGAACCAAGTATACAGTAAGAGTGACAAGAAGTTATTTCTTTTACTTACGGGAGGTCCAGGCAAACCTGGGAAACCCGAGTTGCCTGGAAAACCACGTTCTCCCTAGAGAAGACAAAAGGAAAAATTTCGTTGAAGGCCTTCGGTGGCTCAATTTGGACATCTGCAAAATGGCGAGGGAATGTCACAATTTAAAAGCAAAATGATTGCCTATGTACGGATGGATGAATGGATGGATGGAAGACCATGCTCTATATTTATTATTCGTTGGGCATATCATCTAAAATACATCTAAGATAATGAAATAGTAGAGGTTGGTTGCTTACAAAATATATCACATGGACAGAAAGTTCGAACATGCCGATAGATCTCCATAGAAAGTAGCATTGGAACAGAGAGAGGCAGTTTTTTGCTCAATGCTGAATTCTGGGAGTTGACAACCTGCAATCATATGAGACATTCCCCAATCTTTCCTTTCCTTTCCTTTCCTTTTTCCTTCCCTTCCTTTCCCTTCTTCATCCATTTACTTCTTTTCCTTTCCTTTCCTTTTCTCTCCTCTCCTCTCCTTCCCTTCCCTTCCCGTCCCTTCTTCCCTTCCCTTCTTCATCCATTTCCTTCCTTCCTTCCTTCCTTCCTTCCTTCCTTCCTTCCTTCTCTTTCTTTCTTTCTTTCTTTCTTTCTTTCTTTCTTTCTTTCTTTCTTTCTTTCTTTCTTCCTTTCTTTCTCTTTCTCCTGCTGTTCCTAAAACCATTTGATGAAGAAACTGGGTTGGTTTGCTCAGAAATGGGTTAATTTCTTCCAAGTTTATTTTGAAGATAAATAGCTATGCTTCACAAATTGCTGCAACCATCCCAAAGTAACCTGGCTTAGGGATTTTAATGCTGTGGTTATTTCCATTTTTTTATTAGCTCTTTTCCAAAGCCACAAACACTATTCTGATTATTCCCAACATTCTATTTGTTGGCCAATTATGGGCAACCTCTTCAAATATTTTTCTGTCCTGACAAAACAGGAGTTTGGTAGCAACTGCAGCTTAGTTCAATGGAAGTGTAGTGATTAGCTGCTAAATTTAAATCCTACATCAGTTGAGTAAATCTATGCATTTAATGAATTGAGTTGCAGCTCACAAAAAGCTTTAATAAAAAATGGTGAGTCAGAAAAGATGCTACCAGACTCTTGATTTTTGCCACCCTAGATTAACCCCGTCCACTTCCTACAATTCCTTGAATGATATGAGGTCAAGGGCTTCCTCTCCATGGAGCAAGAGATTAATTGCTGTAGTTGATTGGGGGGGGGGGAACACAGGTTACTATTTAGAAACACAGATTATTATTGATTTTGGAAGCATAACTGATGCAAAAAAGAAGCAGCACAAGGCATTAATTATGGGATCCTAAGAAAAGATGCAGCTGTTTTAAAGAGCTAAAAGAGAGGCTATAGCTATGCCCTACATTCCAAGAGCGCTTCCTTTAGGAACTGAATCTGAAGCATTGACTATCCTTACCGTACCTCAAAGCCCTTGAGATAAATGGCAAATTTTGCCATTCAGTGTTCAACTTTCTCATGTGCCCATGGTTCACTTTCACTTTCCAGCTGTATTTGGACCGCACAACCAAGGACAGAGAACATTCCTTCAGTTGCTACTCCTATGCTTATCCTCAGAAGATTTGAGCTAAAATGTCAAGATGACATCTACTCCACTTATTTATTCAACGCTGCTAGACCATGTCCTCAGTTGCTAAATGAAAAGAAGAGTCGAGATATATAACCTTGGAATTTAACTCCAAGGAAGCCTAGCCAGAATTGTCAGTTCTCCCCCACGCCTTCCCCCAGGAGGGGGTTGAAAACCAAAATAGCCATCATTGCAAATGAATCTCTTCATTTATACATTTATGCCATTGTTAGCTTGGAAATTATCACAATTACCCTGTACTTAACCACTGAATTTCAGCAATGCATCTTTAGAGAATGAAAGATCCCCAGAAGAGTGACTGGTTGACTTTGTTTGACCTGATGACTGCAACTTGCCAATCACTTCCTTAAGTGCCTGTTCTAGACAGAATTTCCTGTCTACCCCAAAGCCTTTCCTTTGCAAACAAAAAAAATATATATCTGAAGTTGGATCCATTGTAGGAATGCAGTCGCTGCAATTAGGAGAGTATTTCAGACATTGGTTGGTCGCTCTGCATATTCCACATGAATTAAAGCAAGGCTTTTCAACCAGTGGTACGGGTACCACCTGTGGTACATTGGCACCTGGCAGGTGGTATGTGACCATCCTAGAAAAGTGGTAGTGAGGGAGGGGAATGAGCTGAACCTGCACAAGCCTGAGCGAGAGATGGCTGAAGCTGCAGGGCTGTCAGGGCTCAGCAGAAGCACCAGGATCAGCGCCAGGCTCCAGCTGGAGCTTGGCGCTGATCCTGGTGCTTCTGCTGAGTCCTGAAGAAGCACCAATCAGCTGGAATGTTGCAGCATCTCCAGGATCTTGTGATTTACATTCAGATGCTTGGCAACTGATTCATATTTATGACAGTCACAGTGTCCCAGGGTCATGTGAAGTGACCAAAACCTGCTGCAACCACCCAGCAGACGGGGGGAATAAAAACCAAACACCCCCCACCCCACCCCCACTGCCAATCCTCAACAGAAATGCTCACAACAATGAAAACCTCGGACAGGAAGAAGAGCGCCACTGGGTGGGCAGGCAAGTGTGTTGCTCGGCTGTGGCTTGGGGGGCACTTTTTTCAGTGGCTTTGTAACTTCGAACAGTCACTAAGCAAACTGTTGTAAGTCGAGGACTACCTGTACTTTATCACTTTTTTCCTTTTTTGGGGGGGGGGGTCATCACATTTCTGACACCTTGCTAGGCGACTGGTGATACTCGGATGTTGCCATATCCTAAAAGTGGTACAATGGGTAAAAAGGTTGAAAAGCCCTGAATTATAGGAATGCTGCCCTCAATGTGGTGAGATCAGCTCCACTAATTCGATGGCTGCATCTGGGCAGTTTCCTGGACAGTAAGTTAGGTTGGCCACTGCCTTCTTCTCAACCTAACCCTGGCATTTCCTGGTGGTCTCCCAACTCTGCTTAAACCCAAGCCTGCTTAATTTTTTTCCCCAAAATCAGCCTGCTGCTTTATCCTACCCTGTTTGGGTAAATTGAGACTTTCTGACTGAAAATGTCCTCCTGGCAGCTTTTTTACAAGTTGGCCAGCCCTCAGCAACCAACCATTTGGGGGCAAGGATGGTTAGCATAGGTGCAAAATTCCAAACAGGCACATCAACCCTGTTCTACCGTGACTGCAGAGTAATTGCCCCAGGTTAGTTAGGAAAGTCGTATGTTTCCAAAGGAGCCAATCCCACCTTCGTTCCATTGCATCCTGGGATACCTTGGAGCCCTGGAGGTCCATCCTGACCGGGCAGTCCCTGCATAAGGAGAACAGCAGACATTGATTGGATTATGATGGTTGGTTGCTTGTTTTTAAAGATAGTCATTCAACCGCCGTGATTATAATACCATTTACTTACAGGAAGCCCTGGTGTTCCCGGAAAACCTGGTAACCCTGGAGGACCCTAAGATAAAAAAAAAAAAATCACAGATCAAGTTAGATATTATTTAAAATTTAGAGGAAAACGGCATCTTTTTTAAAGAAAGGCTCAGGGCAGAGACTCTTTTGCTGGCCTGAGAGCAGATAGCAAGTGAGGTGAGAATACTTCTGGCTCTGTGGGGTCCTCAGTCTTCTCTGAGCTTGGCGGTTTTCTTGCAGATGCTTCATTACCCAACTAGGGAACCTCCTCAGGGCTAGAAAGCAATGGAGTTTCTGGAGAAGGAGGAACAGGAGGAGGAGGATTGTGGAATCCTTGGAGCTCTCTAAACTTGGTGGTTTTCTTGCAGACATTTCATTACCCAACTAGGGAACATCATCATTGCTTGAAGAGAGTGAGGTTTGCTTATAACAGTGGTGGCGAACAGAGGCGGCACTCAGAGCCCTTTGTGGGCACGTGCACCATCGCCCCAGCCCCGCCTCTCCCCACGGCCCCCTTCTCACCAGCAGCCCCCCCGGAGGAGAGTCGCCCTCGAGCATGGCCTGCGCGGAGCAGTGCAGCCAAGAACATAGCAGCCGGGCAGCGGGAACATGACTGTGCCCTGTCGCGCGCAGTTGATGCTGCGGAGCGCAGGTGGAAGGTGTGGCTGCCATAGTACTGCTGGGCCACATGGGTGACCTGTGGCAGGCCGTAGAGGCGGTGGATGGCCCTGCAGGTGGGGGCAGAGCTGGGGCGGAGTGAGCAGGGACGGGGGGCGGAGCAGGGGCGGGCGGGGTGGTGGGGAGGGGCCGGTTTTGGGGCACTCGGTCTCTAAAAGGTTCGCCATCACTGGCTTATAAGCTTTTAGTATGTATGTATGTATATATGTATGTATGTACAGTATGTATGTAATATGTTTGTATGTCACCATCAAAAACAACTCTTGGTGATTCATATCTACTTTCTGCTTTATGCCAGAAATAAAATAAAAAAGCATCACTTACTCGAATGCCTTTGGGTCCTGTAGCCCCTGGAAATCCACCATCACCCTGCAGGAAGAAGAAGAAGACAAAGTATGACCAAGCCAACAATGGCAGGAACAGATCTCTTCCTAGGAAAGCAGATATTCATGAGGCATCTTTAACAAAGAAGGGCTTGTTCTGCCTACTCCTCACCTGAAAACATGAGAATACAAGTGCTGTTCTGCTGGGTCAGGTCTCTGGCCCACCTAGTCCAGCAGTGTGTTCTCACAGTGGCAATTTAGCTACCTAAGGAAGCCCTCTAATCTCCCGGATGTGGGTGGATATGCCTTCGGATTGGGTTTTGACTCCTGGCAACTGACTGGACATGTCCCTGCAATTTTCTTGACAAGATTGCAGACATACTGTAGCTTGACCTTGCTGAGGGCTGAGAGATGAAAGAAAGGGACTGGCTCAAGGCCACCAAGTTGGCTTCATGCTTAAGGGTGAGAAAAGAACTCACATCTCCTGGTTTCTAGACTGGCTTCTTAACCACCACACCAAACTGATTCTCACCACTATGTTCAAATCAAACTTGATTCCTGGCAACTGCCTGGATGAATCCCTACAGATTTCTTGACAAGATTGTCAGAAGCGGTTGGCTACTGTCTCCTTCCTGGGCCGAAACAGAGGAAGTGGCCCAAGGTCACCTAGCTCATTCTGAGCCTAAGATATGACTCAAATTCATGACCTCCCAGTTTTTAGTCCAGCACCTTCTCCAGTAGACCAGACTGTCTTTTGCTCTGAGAGAGAGTGACAGGACCAATAGGGATCACCCAGTTGGCTTTGTGCCTGAAGTGAGACTAGAACTCACAGTCTCCCAGTTTCTCACCTGCTGTCTTAATCACTACACCGAACGGGCTCTCTAGTCTCCTAACAGAAAGCAAAATAAACATCTGTAAACAGGTCATCCAATATGGCGCCATCCTGATGACCGTAGCATCCCAAATGGTTCTTTCCATCACTTACCTTCTCGCCACGGGATCCAGCTGGTCCTTCTGGGCCAGGGAATCCAGGCAAACCGGGCTGGCCTTCTAAACCTGGGAAACCTCGATCACCCTGTGCCCAAGAAAGCAACAACAAGGAGTGAGCTTGCTGTCAACACAGCATAGAATCGTGGGATGGGCTGAAACAGTATCATGGCTTAATCTATGCGAAGTACCAGCGCCTCTGTCAAAGAAGCAGGAATTACAGCGATTGAACAGATATATTAAGACAGATATATATTAGAGATACATTTTCCTAAATAAAAATAAAATAAATACATTTCAGTATGATGGTTGAAGGCAAGAATTTGTGCTAAAGTACAAACCGAAAACTTGGGACACTGTGGCAGGAACTTCCAGATCTCCTTTATTAGCAAGTTTTTTTTTAAGATGGAGTCTCTAAAGATTTCTCCCTGGTCTTTCTGCAACACAGAATCAACTGCCATTTAAGAAATAAACCATTGACAGGATCTTCTCTCTGCTGATTGCTGATGTCCAAACAACCTTCTATTCTTTCTCAGGTTCCTCACAATGTTTTTTCTTACCTTTACCGTGCAAAAGGCTTCAGCCAGGGTCATAAATTACTGATTTGTTATTTTATTAAAGTCATTACCAACCACTTATAAATTCTTGTTCTCTTGGATCTGGACCGAGATGCCCAGGATGACGATGATCCAGTGATAATCAAGATTTTAAAACTGTTTTCAGCCACCTCATTTATCTTTAGATGGTTTTTCTGGCTCATTAACATTCAAAGTTCAGCAAAATTAATGCAGTAATGCAGTGGCTTGAATTTTCTTTTCCCTGGAAATCTGCAATCCAGATTTCACCTTAGACCAGTTGGAAACCTGCAAAGGATTTGCAATATGCAGGTAATCCTTGACTTACGACCACAGTTGAGCCTAACATTTCTGAGGCTAAGCAAAACAGAAGTGAATTTTGGCCCATTTTACAACCTTTGTTGTTAAGTGATTCACTGCAGTTGTTAAGCAATATGGTCATTAAGTGAATCTGGCTTCCTCCACTGACTTTGATTCTCAGAAGGCCGCAAAAGGTGGATCACATGACCCTGGGTCACTGCAACCGCCATAAGTACATGCCAGTTGCCAAGCATCTGAATTTTGATTACGTGACCACAGGGATGCTGCAAACGTAAGTGTGAAAAGGGGTCATAAGTCACTTCTTTCAGTTCCATGGAACTTTGAATGGTCTCTAAACAAATGGTTGTGAGGTCAAAGACTGCCTGTATTAGCCTACAGTCAATCAGATGAATGCAGTTTAGAACAGGGGTCTTCAAACTTGGCCCTTTTATGACTTGTGGACTTCAACTCCCAGAATTCCTCAGAGTCCACAAGTCATAAAAGAGCCAAGTTTGAAAACCCCTGTTTTAGAAAGAGGAAGCTCACATAACTGATCTTGATGGAGTGTGATTGCTTGACCTGATTAAGTGTCATGAAGTTGGTGTCAATTCTTAATGATGACATGGCCCTGTTTCTCCAGGTTGACTTGGACCAGCCTGGTCTTTTAGGACTCTCAAGGGTACACTCATTGCTGCTGCAATCAGGTCCATTCATCCAAGTCCAACTTTTCTGGGGAGACAAAGTCCTTACAAAGTCCAGAACGTTCTGCTTTTCCACTAAATTGTTATGCCAAGACAGCTGATCTGGGGGTGGGCTGGCAGGTTTTCCAGAAGTTAATCTTCCCAAACCAGAAACAGATTGTGTCTTTTGGAGGGAGCCTGGCCCCCAAACTGGTGGTGTTTTATCCTGGAATGTTTGCTTTAGTACAATCCTAATGGACTGGCTTGGTTTATGCCTTTAGTTTCTTTGCAAGAGACTTGCGGTCACCAAATGCATCAGAATCCATCCTGGCTGTCTATCTTCCCCTTTTCTGAAAAAGCCCCCGGGACACCCTTTTGGCAGGTTAAATGAAAACAAGCAAGGCCGTGAAGATGGACTCTGAAAAGTAGGACATTCTCTCACTCTTTCCCTCCCTCCCTCCCTCCCTCTCTCCCACACACCCACACATATGTGCCTTGGTCATCTAATCACGGAAAAATAACTTATTCCCACTTAGAAGAATATCTATGAAAGTTTTAGTCATTGGAAGGAATTTTGAAAGTAGTAAGTTCTCTTTCATTAGCTTGAATGGGAACTGTTAGGGGGAGGACAGCAATGCAGCATTTGTTATATTCTATTTGCATCGCACACTGAACAATGTGGATAGCAGCACGCTTGTTTCCTGCTGATGGATGAAAGGATCTGTTTTCAAGGGGCCACACTAGAAGCAAGATCAAAACCAACTTCTATTAATTGTGCCATCTGAAAGGGGGGGGGGAATTCAAGAAACGGAGAGGTTCTGTCAATTTTCCAAACTATGAATTAGCATCTACAGGAATCTCAATCTATTAGTTTGGGCAGTCTTTTCTCTGGAGTACAGCATAGGCTGAGAACATCACATGGATTTATATAGTAATAGCATAGACTTAGACTTATATATTGCTTCACAGTGATTTACAGCCCCCTCTAAGCGGTTTGCAGAGTCAGCATACTGTCCCCAACAATCTGGGTCCTCATTTTACCGACCTCGGAAGGAGGGAAGGCTGAGTCAACCTTGAGCTGGTCAGAATCGAACTGCTGGCAGTCGGCAGAATTAGCCTGCAATACTGCATTCTAACCACCGCACCACTACGGCTCATATACGTCAATGCTAGGAAGACAAGTTATTTTTTCTCCCTTTGTTCAGAGACAGAGGACATGGCTGTTATTATTAGCATATGGAATAATTACAGTAGCCAGGAGCCCATAATTCCATTGCCAAACTAGCAGCCCTGTTGTAGGACACATTTGCACGTTTCCCAAGGTGCGCCACAGGAGGACAAGCTGGCTTTGCACCAGAGAGAAAGACGAGGGGCTCTTTCTGCAGCATCATCGAAGACCCCCTCCCTTCCCAAAGCTGCCTCGCAAGCGGCCGCCACAACCGGGAAGATTCGGAGCCATCAGGAATCTGACTGCCTGCACAGAACATCAGCTCATCTCACCAGTGAAGTGGTACTTATCTATCTACTTGCTTAGAACACCTTTTCTACTCTTAAATGGACATAAGCTGAGTGAGTGACGGGAGCTCACCCCGTCACACAGTGCAAGGGCTCAAACCACCAGAGCTGAGACCATCTCCAGGCGTCATTAAGCCACTGAGCTATCGCGCCTCTACAACATGGTTCTAATGCAGTGGTTCTCAACCTGTGGGTCGGGACCCCATTTGGGGTCGATCGACCATTTCATGGGGGTCGCCAAGCAAGGATGTCCGCCATTTTTTTGTCTGCCATTTTTTTTGTCCGCCATTTTTTTCCCCTTTTCCGGCGGGTGCCTTGCCTCCCTTGGGCTGGGCCAGCTGGTGGTCGGCCTGCTCCGTCTCTGCCGCTTGCCAGCTACGCCTCGGCCGGCACAGGGGGCGGAACCACGCATGCACGGCGCTCCCGGGCAGGGAAAGTCCTCGACTTACGACCAGTTGGGTAGTCCTTGACTTATGACCGGTTTAGTCCTCGACTTACGACCGGTTTAGTCCTCGACTTATGACCGGTTTAGTCCTTGACTTACAACCGGTTGGGGTCGCGGCATTAAAAAGGTTGAGAACCACTGCTCTAATGTCTCCCAAGGAGAGAGAGGACTCAAACGGTGAATTCCCTTTTTCTAGTGTTTTCGGACAGGGTTTATTTAGTAAAGTAGGTGGCAGCTAGATGGCAAGGCCCAGACAGCCTTGGGCAACCTTAAAAAAAAAATTAAGGAGGGTGGGCCTTGTCAATAATTAGACAAATGGTCACAAAGAAATGCTGAGCTTGTAGACTAGACTGGAAAGTTGATAAAACATTGCAGAAGAAGCCTTTAATTTCTGTGGGGTTGCTAAGGAAACTAGATGGACAGTTCTGAGAAATCACCAGTCAAGTTTATTTTAAGGGAGTTTGTAGTTGCCAGAAAGCAGAGGTGCCAAGCTAACCTTGTCTGGAAACTACCCAAGGTCAGATCTGGTTAATGTTTGGATGGAGACTAGGATTGTAGACTAGAATTCAAAACAAGCATCCCAGAAAATGACAATGAGAAATTACAGCCATGTTGCTGCAAAAAAAAAAATCCCACCCAGATATTTTTGTAAACTCACCAGGGTCTAGCTACACTTCACAGAGATTTTTACCTCCGTAAAACAAGTGCCTTAGAATTTGGGAGGAGTGAATTCACCTCTTTCATTGGGTTCCTGTTTAAGAAAAAATCTGAACTCATACCAGCCTTATAACAGCAGTATGCCACTGAATTTCAGCTCTGCAATTTAGGTTCAGGGCCATTTACGTTCATGGTTCATAGGCTGGGTCCCTCTGAGCTAACCCAAATCAAATGCAACCCATTTCTGATTAAGTATAATAGTAAATGTGGGGGGGGGGGGNTGCTACTTTAGGGTCAAACAAGTCCATACCTAAACCTGAAAGCTTAGATGAGACTGTTTTTATTATTATTATTATTATTATTATTATTATTATTATTATTATTATTATTATTATTATTATTATTATTATTATTATTATTATTATTATTATTATTATTATTATTATTATTATTATTTTTAAAGGACAAGGAATCCAAGCACGTAAATCCCCTTGATTTTGGAAACTGTTGCAAGTTTGAACAGCACAGACCATTCTCAAGGGGAAATTATAACTCTGGCATCTTTCCAGAGAACCTGATTCATGGGCTATAATGGGATACTTAAAAACAGAGCAAGTTTTTTTTCTCCTTGGAGGCAAAAATAATAATAATAATTAGGTTAAAGAGATTAGAATTTGGGTCAAAAGGAAGAAGGCAGAGCGTTTAAAGATGATGTTCTGAAAAAGGTATATAAAACTGAACAACTGGCATATTATTAAGATACAAATACAGGCAAGTCCTGGACTTACAACACTTTGTTTAGTGACAACGGCATTGAAAAATGCGACTTATGACCATTTTTCACAGGTATGACCTTTACAGCATCCCCATGATCACGGGATCAAAATTCAGAGGCTTGGCAACTGGCATGTTCTTATGACGGTTGCCGTGTCCCGGGGTCACGTGATCCCCTTTTGCGACCTTCTGGCAAGCGAAGTCAATGGAGAAGTCAGATTCACTTAACAGCCGTGTTACTAACTTATCAACTGAAGTGATTCCCTTAACAACGGTGGCAAGAAAGTTCATAAAATGAGGCAAAACTTACTTAACAATTGTTTCACTTAACAACAGAAAAATTTGAGGCTTAATTGTGGCCGTATGTCGAGGACTGCCTGTACTGCACAATGCCAAAATTGGATGGTGCAATTCAAGGCACACCACCGGAAGTCCACAACTTACAGCTATTGGTTTAGTGACCATTTGCACTTACGACAGCAGTGAAAAAAGTGGCTTACAACCAGCCTTTGCGCTTACAAAGGTCACAGCTTCCCCACAGTTACGTGGTCAGAATTTGGGTGCATGGCAATTAGCATGTATTTATGAATATTGCAGCATCCCTGGGTCCTGTGATCACCATTTGGGACCTTCCTAGCCAGCTTCCAACAAGCCAAGGCAACGGGGAAAACTGGATTCGCTTAACAATCACGTGTTTTGCTTAACGGCCGCTGTGATTCCCTTAACGATTATGGTTAAAAAAATTGTGAAATTTAAAAACTGCCTTGCTTAGTAATGGAAATTCTGATCCCAACTGCCTGTAATTATCAGCCATTGTATGTGAGAGAAGGATATGCTAGGAAATAAGGAAAATGATCAAATTCCTGGAACAGTTATATTGACACAAACCAAGTAGGACAGCTAAGTTTCAGACTTGTCAGGCAGATATTAACTCTGAAGGTAATTTGTTTTGGAATGAAAGAACTACAAGACACCAGCAGGCCGTACAGATGTTTGATCTCTAGCAAGCAAAACCAGTGTGAACCTCTGAAGACTTCTTGAAGAACTGGGATGCTGAATACCTGGCCACAAGAGAGGACAATCTGTGCCCCAGCAAGGAACACAAAAGCAGAGACATTGCCCTGCCAACAAAAGTGCGTATAGTCAAGGCCATGGTTTTCCCAGTTGCAATGTATGGCTGTGAAAGTTGGGCCATAAGAAAGGCTGAGCGCCAAAGAATTGAGGCCTTTGAACTCTGGTGCTGGAGAAGACTCCTGCGAGTCCCTTGGACTGCAAGGTGATCAAACCGGTCAGTCCTAGAGGAGATCAACCCTGATTGCTCTTTAGAAGGCCAGATCCTGAAGTTGAAACTCAAGTACTTTGGCCACCTAATGAGAAGGAAAGACTCACTGGAGAAGAGCCTAATGCTGGGAAAGATTGAGGGCAACAGAAGAAGGGGACGACAGAGAATGAGGTGGCTGGATGGAGTCACTGAAGCAGTAGGCGTGAGCTTAAATGGACTCCAGAAGATGGTAGAAGACAGGAAGGCCTGGAGAAACGTTGTCCATGGAGTTGCGATGGGTCGGACACGACTTCGCAACTAACAACAACAAGGAACACAAAGAATGAGCAATGCCCCATGCCCGGCCTGTACGCTCCCACAGGGTGGGTCTCCTCAGGGTGCCGTCGGCCAGACAGTGCCGGCTGGCGACCCCAAGGGGGAGGGCCTTCTCTGTGGGAGCTCCCACCCTCTGGAATGAGCTGCCCCCAGAGATCAGGGTGATCCCTGATCTCCCTTCCTTCCGCCGCGCCCTTAAGACATGGCTATTTCAACAAGCGGGACTGGCCTAGGGCAATTTTTAGAGGGTTTTAATTATATTTTAATTGGACAAACATTGAAATATTTCTTTTTAATTAATTTTAACTTTGTAATTGTTATTTATGTATTTTTAATTGATTGTCAGCCGCCCTGAGTCCGCAAGGAGAAGGGCGGGATATAAATTTAATAAATAAATAAAAAATAATAAAACAGATTGCAACACTCCTTCCTGGAGAGCAGCTACAAGGGTCTCCTCTTAGGAGGAATCTCGTTCAACAAGGTAGAAGATTGACAGGATACAAAGGCTAAGCCCAAAGAACTTTTAGAGGATTCCTCCAGTGGAGAAGGCTAAGGTGCACACTTGCCAAAACTTGTAAGTGGCTGGAAAACAGAGCAAACCAAAGTTATGGGTGGCTTCTCTTTGCTTCTAGAAGCAAGCTGGCCAGTAGCTTTGCAAAGCAGGTCCAAAGGACCTCTTTGAAATGGTGTAGCCCTTCAAAGATTGATACCAGTCTACTCTTACCAAATCTGTACATACATGGGAAAAAAAACTATAATCAGGTAGACAGCTCAACAATTTTTCCCCCCTAATATATTAGTTTGTGGTAAATGGCATTTTTAGAATAATCATCTACAGCAGGGGTCTTCAAACGTGGCCCTTTTATGACTTGTGGACTTCAACTCCCAGAATTCCTCAGCCAGCGTGCCTGGCTGAGGAATTCTGGGAGTTGAAGTCCACAAGTCATAAAAGGGCCAAGTTTGAAGACCCCTGATCTACAGCTTATAGTTAACCATTCTAGAAGGGGTTTTGAAGACCATTTGTCCAATCTTGATGACCAGGGATGATGGGAGCAGTACAATGTTCACACATCGCTTTAAGCATAAATGCGATACATGCTACCCAACATTGTGGCACTAAACCCAGTATATGCCTCAATGCTAGGTACAAAGCGGCTTCTACAAAACCGTAGGTGGAACTAAAGGGGCCATGTGAAGCCTTCATTTGGAGATTTCAAGTGTTGACTCTGCGCCAAATTGACTTGGGACAGTGATGGCGAACCTTTTAGAGACAAGTGCCCAAACTGCAACCCAAAACCCACTTATGCATCGTTGAGTGCCGGGTGGGTGTGGCCCATTGGCCGGGTGTGGCCAATTGGGTTGGGCATGGCCAATTGGGTGGGCATGGCTGCAGTGGTAATGGCAGACTGGGTGGGACTAAAAAGTTCAATCAATCAATTCCAACTTTGCAAGAACATTTTTTTTCCCGTGAGAAGTTGAAATTGACTGATTGAACCTTTTTTTTTTTTTTGCACATGGCGGCGGAGGCCTAAAGCGAAAAGGTTTTATAAAACCCAGCTGAAGGCCTAGGACTGGGGCAACGAAGCGGGTGCCCACAGAGAGGGCTCTGAGTGCCGCCTCTGGCACCCGTGCCATAGGTTCGCCACCACTGACTTGGGACAATTCAGTCAGAAATGAATATGCCCTCCCAATCAATTAAAAAAAAAATCAGATGGAGGGTGTCAATTAGATTAGACCTCATCTGCACATTTAGATAAAATGTGGCTTATTGCAATATGTGAATAGAAACCCTTTGGCAGTTAATTCCAGTTACGCACCACCTTATTTGCTTTCTCCAAACTCCTCGTTCCAAAATTGTGTCTTAACAGTACATTTTATAATGCCCCTTATTTTGATCAGAAAACTCGGGACTGTGGGCAATGCAACCTCACTTAACCTTTCTTCCTTGCCAAGAGAGACAAACCCTTGGGCTTGGCACCGCTACATCTGCAGTCAACCTTCAACAAGCACCTTTGCCAAGTTGTGACCTCATTCCCTGGAGCACCTGGAGAGAAAATGGTGCCCCTCCTAAATAGCTTGGCCAGAAAGCCTGCTTCAAAACAGACAGTCCAAATTAGGCTGGTGGTAAAACTGTAACAGCGCCTCAAATTATAGAAGACACTCAAACTCTGCAAGTTAGCTTGGAATTTCAGATCCAAACAACCAATTGTTAGTTAATATGTACTTTAAAAACTGATTTCTCCAAATCAATGATCTGGTTCATACACCATGTTACATCATATACTCTACGTAATTATGATTTGCAGAATAAGCCATAGCCAGTTTGTATATAATGCTAGGCCATCAATCATGGTCTTCAAACCGCTGTGGTTGGGTTCTCGTTAATGTTAAGCCAAAACTAAACCTCATCAGGAATTAGAATAGTGGGTAAATCAGATCGCATGTGCACATGAGGTTTATCTGTACCAACTTGATACTAGAGCTATATGTAATAAAAAAAAGTATAATTCACAATGTGGTATACAAGAACAGGCATGGAAGATGTCATGATGAACCCAAAGACCCCTGGGATGAAATAAAAATTAACTAAACAAAAATAAAAATAGCTGACGTGTCACAAGACGTCAGCAGTCTTGCGTGCAAATTGATCAAGTGTCAAAGGATATGTGAGAGTTTTGCTTGAGAATGTAGAGATCTCAGGGTGGGATCAACAAGATCTTATGAGATGTGGAGAAAAGACCATTCTCTAACCAGCTATAAGACATTCCGAGCAATGGAGGAGCGTTGATCACTGATGTGTGCGCAAAACAGATTGATGTGTTTCACCAAGAGCAGGGGGGTCTCCAAACTTGGCAACTTTACCACTTGTGGACTTCAGCTACTGGTTGAGGAATTCTGGGATTTGAAGTCCACAAGTGGTAAAGTTGCCAAGTTTGGAGATCCCTGGAGGAACATCTGTAAAGCGGTTCTTCAGGTTGACTCTCCAGCACAGTGGCCCTCAACCTTTTGTGCACGAGGGAGGGAGGTTTTTCCACGGACCGGAGGGGGCGTGGTTCCATGTGCTGCCTGCATCCCGTGGAATGGGGGTTTCTGGCATGCCACAGCCCAATGTTGGTCCACGTACTGAGGGTTGGGAACCCCAGGTCTAGCACAAATTTACACTTCCTTCCAGACTCACCTTTTCTCCTTTATGTCCACTGCAGTCACACGTAGTGCTTTTGGAACACCCATGGCACGCCTAGAAGGGAGAGAAAGAAGCTCAGTGTGAGACATTAAGTGGTCCTTGGATATGAAGAATTAAGTCCTCAAAAGTTAATTGGGAGCCACTACTCTGGACTGCTTCAGTTGTGGAACTAAACATACTTTAAACACGGTAGGCGTATCAGATTTACCAGGCGTATCAGGTGTGCCAACCTTGGCATCTTTAAGACTTGTGGACTTCCAACTTCAAGCATGGCTGACTGGGGAATTCTGGGAGTTGAAATCCATGGGGCTTAAACGTTACCAAGGTTGGACACCCCTGCTATAACACCCCCTCCCCCTGATCACACGTAACTATAGCAGAATTCTTTGTCTTTCTGTTGTGCTTTCAGCCAGACTGCATCTTACGTGGCAGTTCCTGGGGCAAGAACTGATCCTGATCTTCAATCAATCATGCTGGTAACACACACACACACACACACACAGAGAGAGAGAGAGAGAGAGAGAGAGAGAGAGAGAGAGAGAGAGAGAGAGAGAGAGAGAGCGAGAGAGAGAGCTGTGTGTTGCTTTACACTTGGGATGATCTATACAGATAGATCAGATAGAGCCAAAGAATTGAGGCCTCTGAACTCTGGTGCTGGAGAAGACTCCTGCAAGTCCCCTGGACTGCAAGGTGATCAAACCGGTCAGTCCTGGAGGAGATCAACCCTGACTGCTCTTTAGAAGGCCAGATCCTGAAGTTGAAACTCAAGTACTTTGGCCACCTAATGAGAAGGAAGGACTCACCGGAGAAGAGCCTAATGCCGGGAAAGATCGAGGGCAAGAGAAGAAGGGGACGACAGAGAATGAGGTGGCTGGATGGAGTCACTGAAGCAGTAGGCCTGAGCTTGAATGGACTCCAGAAGATGGCAGAGGGCAGGAAGGCCTGGAGGAACGTTGTCCATGGGGTTGCGATGGGTCGGACACGACTTCGTAACTAACAACAAATACAGATAGACCCATGCAAGATAAGCTTCCTGGGTGGGGAATTCTGGGGGCCACAATCCAGCACAGTTGGAAGCACAAGGTCTATAAAAGCAAGATTCTATAAGAAATGTATCCTTTCCTCTTACAAGGCTAGTCCTTGACTTGCAGCCATCGATTTAGTGACTATTTGAACAGCATTGAAAAAAGTGCCTTCCAACGGCTCCTCACACTTATAACCATCACAACACTCCCATGGTCATGTGATCAAAATCCAGGTGCTTGGCAACCAGCAGGTATTTACAATGCTTGCAGCATCCTGGGGTCACGGGATCCCCATTTGCAACCTTGCCAGCCAACTTCTAGCAAGCAAAGCCAATGGGCGAAGCCAGATTCGCTTAATGACCTCAGGATTCACTTAGCAACTGCAGTGGTTCACTAAACACTCGTGGCAAAGAGATTGTAAAAATGGGACATGACTCGCTGAACAACTGCCTTGCTTAGCCACGGACACGCTGCCCCCCCACTGTGGTTGTAAGTCAAGGACTATATGTACCTTCAAAAGTCTGGGAATGCCTTTTCAGGTAAGTACTTGTGTGTAAGAATTCGAAAGCTTTTGAAGAACAAATTAATTGGACACACCCTTAAAGTTAATTAAAACATTTCCCTTTGCAAAAACCTGCAGGTGGTATAATGGTCTAAACATCATTTTTTGGGAAGTCTGAGCTGTAATGTGACCTTGTAATTGAACAAAAAATTGTGGCCAGGTTTTTTGTTTTTACTAGCCCAATTCTTCTTCCTATGAATATTGCCTTTGGAAGGGCAGCATGCAGTGAAACATTGCACCAACTCTCAACTCTGAGTTGCACGTAAGCTAGCCAGCTGTGCAAGTCATGATTAGAGCAATTAAATTGCTAAATAATTGGAGCAGACAGAATTGCTCAACAGTCGTTCCCTCTTGAGGAAATTGTTTATATATTGCATTTTATATCACTTGACTTAGAAGCATCTTAAAAGACTGTCCAAGTAAGACAGTTAAAATGAGGACAATATGCAGCAAAAAACTGCAAGAAAATTATATTAATAACAAGAAACAAACGTGGTTGCAACCTAATTTCTAGCCAATAGATGGAGCTTTCTACTCATAGTTGCAAAGTGGTTTACTTAAATAAAAAAAAAACGTTCCAAACTCAGCACTCCCCAAGTTTTCCAAAAAGAAAAGTAACCGAGAAACAATTCAGAGAACACTCAAAAGACAATTCAGAGAAGTTCCAGAAATATTGAGAGAAGGAGAAATTCACACCCTTTTCTCTTGTTTACTCATGTCAATATTTGCCACTTAAAAGTTTCTTCTTTGGAAAAAAAAATTACATCAGTGTTCAAAGTTAATTCAGAATAGGTCAACAAATAAAATGTTAGCTTAATTCCATTCCTAATTTCATATTTCTTGTTGCAGTTCCATATTGGTCTTCCAAATATTCTGAAGAAGATTCAAAATACATAAAACAAAATATTGAGCACAGAAGGAGAAACTTAAAACCGTTCAAAGAAAAATAAGACTTAATGAAATAACTTCAAAAGCCTGTTTCAACCAACCAAACATTAAGAAGTAATGAAAAAGGCCCATAAAACAATGAAGCCATTTCAGCAAAGTACCGATTAATCTATGAAAAATGGAGTGTTTAAGATATACAGAAATAAAAACCAAAACTGCACACTGCAAATGCATAAAATATATAAATACAGTTATCCATAGATAGTCAAGCAAAATGTTTGAAGGTGGATTTCCCTTCGAAAACAGGGCTGAGTTCAGACTGAGATTTCATCCAAATTATATATTTTTTTAAAAAAAAATCTTAGTTGATTAACCTCATGATATTTAAATTCAGATGTATTCGGTATTGTTCAAAGAAATATCCTATCCTGAACTTCATAGGATTGTAAATGCAGATAATTATGTCATGTTTTTAAATTAACTCTCCTGCATAAATTCACTATATTCACATATTGCATTGGAATTTTTAAGCAGAACTTGTAGAAATATACCAAACTGCCAAAAGGCATCCCACAAAGACTGGGCTTAGATAACAAACTTAGGTTAATGGGCAATAGCCAGATTAAACAAGAGAGAAGGAAGAGGACATGGATCCTAAAATCAGTGCAGGTACTAACCAAAGAGGTTCTTGCATTAAAAAAAAAATGTCAGAAGCCCTTTTCAATTTGCCAACTGCTCTGCAAACTCATTTGCAAATTATGCAACCTGCAAGCTAAAACCAGTAGTTACAGGCAGTACAGGTAGATTGCCAAAAAAACATCCCCCCCCAGGAAAGGGTTAAAAATTAACTTTTTAAACCAATCAGCTCATGGTAGGTGAGTTGGAAAACTGTCACTGAATTCCCTTCCCCCAATTCCTCAATAACATCTGACCCCAAGTCTAAAAGAACTGAGGTGTGTGTCCTTGGTGCTTCCAGAGCTGGCTTGTTTTCTTGCAGACGCTTCATTACTCTAACTAGGTAACATCATCAGTGCTAGAAGGAACTCACGTTTTTAAAATCAGTGTGATGTTCCTGCATTTCAGTGATGAGGTGGCTAAGGAGTGGCATGAGCATCCAGTCTATTACACAAGCCACTTTTCCAGCTTTCTGTGGTCTCTCTAGTTGCCCACACTCAGGAGAAGACCCTAGAAAGGAACTCATCCCAGGAGACCTGTTCTGATGGAGAACTTGGGACAACTAGGAAGGTACAGAGCAACAGAAGCAAGTAAGTAAAAACATTAAGAATATCTCCTTGGCCACATCCATCCATCCATCCATCAGAAGAGAGCTTGAAGGGACATTGGAGGTTCTCCAACCCAACCCCTGTTCAAGCAGCAGACCCTATACAATTTCAGACAAGAGGCTGTCCCGTCTCTTCTTAAAAGCCTCCAGTGATGAAGTACCCACAACATCTGAAGGCAAGCTATTCCACTGGTTAATTCTTCTCACTGTTAGGAAGTTTCTCCTTAATTCCAGGTTGCTTTTCTCCTTGATCAGTTTCCAACCATTGTTTCTTGCCTTACCTTCTAATCAACAGAGGAAGCTCAAAAATAAATTCTAAAAAATGGATCGAAATTCTATCACATCCTGAAAATGTGTAGAAAAACAGAAACCTCTTCTGCAGAAGAACACTTTGAAGTAGGATGTCAGTCCTGGACTACAAATATTTCCTTTATGAGAAATATTCCCACATTCACATGATTTATAAGCAGGCATCTCCAATCTTCAGCAAGAGACAATGGACTGAAGTCAAAGTCCCAAATGAAACTCAGATGTTTTTTCAAAGTTCTCCTTAGAAAAGCTCAAGAACAGTGTTTTACCTCTTCTTTTTTTTCTCTACCAACATCTGTATTCTTTCAGGAGTAATTTGTCAAAGGCAGTATGTTGGCAACAAGCAGAGTTGATTCCAGTAGCAGATCAAAGTCAAAACCTGGCTTGAGGCAACCAAACCCTTTCTCTACTTCTTTCTGTTCCTTTTAACCTAGTGGAGTCCTGGAGAACAGACAGATGGATGACTTCTCTCAGAACTCCAGAGTAGGACAGGCAACGTATGAAATGTTCCTTGTGACGGAGGTACTTGATCATATTTCCTAAGGTGCTTGGAAAGATGCTAGCAAGGTATAGGTCTGGAATCTTGTGAAAAGCTTAGATTTCCATCCTCTGGTTGAATGAACTTCCCAGAAAGAGATTTTGAATTTTGGGGCACACCTTAAGCCCTCTCTACTCTGTCTGCCACCAATTCTCCAAAGACTGTGAGTGTGTTGTTAGCTAAACTCCTTCAGCTAGAAAAAGGACTATTGTATTTGGGGTTAGCCAAATTTAGAACCAGTAACTGGCAGCTTATATTCTGGGCCAAAGATTCTGTCCCCATCTTTCCAGTGAGATCACCGCTCTTTCCTTTCTTGTCAACTTTCAATCTTCAGCCATTGTTTCTCAGAGCATTTTGGTTCAAATGGTCTTCCTTTACTCTAGAACAGGGGTCCCCAACCCCCGGTCCGTGGACTAGCACAGGGCCACAGCATGCCAGCAACCAGGCCAC